ATAGTCTATTACTTATTCATAGGCCCTGCCACACAGGCTGATGCAATACCAGTCTTCCAGCTAAAATGAGGCAAACAAGCATATATGGAGGAGAAACGGACCAGACATGAGCAAGAGGGCAAAAATAAACCCAAAAAAAGCTTTGAGCATACAGTAATGATTCAGTCTGAAACTCCACAAAGATTAGCTAACTGCTGTTTAACGTCTTAACTGGATATTTGGATAAACCTTTCACCTTTTTTTCCCCTTTTTTATGCAAAGAAAGCATATTTGGTCAATTCTCCTGAAAGATGCTGGAGGATGATTTTAAAGAAACCAAAGGAGGCTCAATAACCAACACTTTAATCCTGCTGAGATCCTTTTGTTTGTGTTATTCTAACAATTAGCATATTCTTCCACCAGTAACTGTTTTTAGCAAATGTTATATTGGAGGAGTTTCATGTACTTACCATAATAATGCTCAGAAGTTTGAACAGGATTCTGATGGTGGATATCTTTGCACTTTTTCTGAGACTTTTAGATTATTTATATGGTTATTGGAATTATGTTGCATCAACCTAAATTAAGAAATATATTGTGACTCAAGTTTTGTCTATATCCTTTAGCCACAGTACAGCCTTCCTCTTTCTTATTGATTCAAAAATAATTTCACTGGCCTTGTACATCAAATGAACTTAAGTATTTGTTGCAGTCAATATCAGTCTGTTTCATAATCACCTCATAAGTAAATAAGAATTTATAATTTTCTCTTTATTAAATGTTTAGGATTGCTTTACAGTTGAGCATTTTTGGGGAGAATTTGATTCTGAGAGACTCTATATTATGAACTTTTTAATTCTTTGCAGAGTGTACCAGGAATACTTTAATTTCATTTTACTGAAAAGCTACCCGTATTTTCACGACCATAAGGCGCACCGTACTAAAAGGCGCACTCTCAGTTATGTGTCCCATCTCTGTATTTAACACACACATAAGGCGCACCGGACTATAGGGCGCGTTTTTTATATACAGGTACATGTCCTCTACTACCTTTAAATACCTCTACTGCGTATTTAAAAATACAGCGGGGGCAAAACTGAGTATGACTGTGCTTTATTCATGTATTTATTACAAAGTATTAATCAAACCTGGGTGCTGGCCGTGAGACAGACACATCGCAGATGACAGTGCGCTGTGATTACTCCTAAATTAACTTAAAATCCTGAAACCTGCCGACGGAATATGTTCGCTTTTATTGCCGGTATCCTAGTGCCTGCAGTTTAAATTATTTAGATGAAAAACACCTGCCAGCCGCCGCGGTGAGGCTGCTGTTGAAGGGATTTACTGTCGATGCACCGCTGGTATGTGGGGGTCTGAGCGCCTCCGACAGAAATAGATAATCTGGATGAACTGACTGCAATTATGAAGTTTTCAGGTGGACTTTCTCACTTAAAAACATATTAAAACTACTTTATTCCCACTGATCACAGCAAATATAGCTGCAAGATTTAGATTATTTAGATGAAAAAACACCTGTCAGCCGCCGCGGTGAAGAGGAGGAGACGCGCCCAGAGGCTGCTGTTGAATTAAGTTTTCAGGTAGAAAAAATAGAGCGGGAGCAAAACTGAGTATGATTGTGCTTTATTCAAGTATTTATTACAAAGTATTAATCAAACCTGGGTGCTGGCCGTGAGACAGACACATCGCAGATGACAGTGCGCTGTGATTACTCCTAAATTAACTTAAAATCCTGAAACCTGCCGACGGAATATGTTCGCTTTTATTACCGGTATCCTAGTGCCTGCAGTTTAAATTATTTAGATGAAAAACACCTGCCAGCCACCGCGGTGAAGAGGAGGAGACGCGCCCAGAGGCTGCTGTTGAATTAAGTTTTCAGGTAGAAAAAATAGAGCGGGAGCAAAACTGAGTATGATTGTGCTTTATTCATGTATTTATTACAAAGTATTAATCGAACCCATCAAAGTCATCATCCTCTGTTTCTGAATTAAACAGCTGCGCTAAATCAGACATGCCAATTTCCCCTTCTTTGCTGTGAGAGCATCTACAATCCATCCACAAATGGTGGCATAACTTGCCCGGCGCTGCCTTCCACTTATCCTGAAACTGTGGTCTCCGTCTGTCATCCATCGCTCCCACGCCGCTCGCAGCCTTACTTCGAACGGCCGCTTCACACCGATGTCGAGCGGTTGAAGTTCCTTTGTCAGACCCCCGGGATAACGGCGAGCACAGCGTTCATTTGATTCACCTTTTTTTCACATCGGCTGTGAGTTGGGCACGCAGCGATGGTGATGCGTGGAAAAAAGCACCTGGTCTCCTCACATACACCTGCCTGCATCATCTCCTCATCCATCCAGCCCTTTTCATTTGCGTTATATCATATGTCATCAGAGCGCTGTGTCTGTCTCGCTGTCAGCTCCCAGATCAGCTTCTCTGATTGGTTGATGCGGCGCGTCCAGCAGCAAAACTTCAATTTTTCCATCTTGAGCAGCAGCAGCAGCGCTACGTGCTGCACCTGCGGCTCAAAACGCGCTGCGGGACCTTTTGCTGCACCTATACGCGCGTCAACCATTGACTTTGCATGTCAACTCGCTGCTTCTGCTGCACCTGCTGGGTCCGGTTCACACCGATGTCGAGCGGTTGAACAGCGAGCACAGCGTTAATTTGTTTCCCCATGTTTTTCACATCAGCTGTGAGATGGGCACGCATGGAGTCACATATTAACAGCGATGGTGATGAGTGGAAAAAAAACACCTGGTCTCCTTACATTCAGCCACTCTTTCATCATCTCCTCAATGAGGTGGTCTCAAAAGTCGCAGTTACAACACACATAAGGCGCACCGCACCAAAGGGCGCACCGCACATTTTGAGGGAAAAAAAAGACGTTTAAGTGCGCCTTATAGTCGTGAAAATACGGTAGTTATAAATCCTTTTCTAGCTACTATCCCTGGGTTCCAATCCCCGCCCGCCAGGGGAAATGAGCTGCCAGTGAGGGTCCTTAGACAAGACCATTTATGCTAATGCCTGCTTTGTAAGTCACTTTTCATAAAAGTGTCTGCTAAATGCATAAACATAAACTAAAAAACAAAAACACATAAACATAATAACCCTGCAAGCATCAGATCTGTTTAGTGAAAGCCATTACTGGTTGAGCTTTATTTCCCACACCTACAGTACCACAGTAATGCAAGCAACACAGAAGAATTAGCAATATTTATTCCCAGAAACTTTTGTCCTCAGTATTAAGACCATATCTGCTATAATTAACACTTCCACTGAGTGGTCAGTGGTCCTATTTTCTAATCCGCTTCCCTAAACTGTCTTGGATCCTTCTTGACACTTGAATTATCCAGGGTGATTTGAGGCAGAAAAAATAATGCAGTCTTTTCTGTAGTATAGCATAGCTTGTTGATCTAAGCATATTTATTGAAATGTGAACTTAATCCCCTTTTACATACTGCCCCTATTTTTAGGTAGCCTAAAGGTGGTTTTGTGCTACAAATGGAAAAGGATACAGATTAAATCTGTAGACTGCATGGAAAAATTTATGTTGAGAATCACTTGAGAATCACCTGCTTCTACCTTACTGCTTGGAAGACGTTTGTCCCTTAAACGGAGCACTGTGGTGACCACCAGAACCACTACAGCAAAGGACAGACAGCAGACTTGTTTTTGGGGTCATAATATAATGAGGTCTCATCATCGTTATGTTATTTAGACAGTCCATAAATAGTGTAGCTGTATAAAACTGTATTTATTCTGAATATTATGTTCAGAGTATTATGGAAGTGAGGATTGGGATTACTGAAATATAGCTTCTGCTGACACCTCAATAGAATAAAGAAGAGATTAAAACAGAGGAGTAATATCCCTAACTGTCCCATACTGGGGAAGTTCAGGTGTCAGACGCACAACTGGCTGTATGTTATGACAACAAATGAAAACCGTCAAACATAACTCTGCACACATATGGAATCCATACATAACAAATTTTATTCAAAATATAAGAATTTATTAACAAAAAATAATTCAACTCCATGTCAAACATATTTCAGTAAAGGAATAAAACTGTAAACAGAGCAACTTTGTTGTACTCTGTTAAGCCTTCGCATTATCCCCTTTAACTCTTACTCTCTCTAACTCTCAGCTTGCTCAAAAGAACAGCAGAAATCTTAACATTACTAGTCCTGTGTGTGATTCTATTGATTTTTTTTTCTTTTGGATACTCGGGTAACAGATTAGCTGTTGGATAGTATGACTGTTATTGGAAGAGAGACCAGCTTACATGGTAAATGGCCTGTGCTTGTAAAGCACTTTTTTTCAAGTCAGGAGATTTGACCAAATTTCTTTACACTATATTCCCTCATTCAGCCATTCACGCACACACTCACACAAAGTACAATGTAGCCACACCTGCCCTGGGGCTCACTGATAGAAGCGAGGCTGCCAGTCTCAGGCCCACTGGGCCCACTGACCACCATAAGTAGACATTGCAGGTGAAGTGTCTTGCCCAAGGACAAGAACACTAAAGGCTGGAACTGGGGCTTGAATGGTCAACCCTTTGATTTCAGGGCAAACTCCTACATCCAACGCCACTGTGTCCCTGTTTGGCAGGTTGATTACAAACTTATACCTGTATTTACTAAACATGAAGCTTTAAGTATAGATAATATAAACAACAGACTACAATCTGAGGTGCTTTACTCTTTGATAAAACATTCTTAACAGAGTAAATGCACAAACATATTTTAAACTACCGGTATTTAAACTATTTTCTTGGCCTGAGTCCTTGTTATTAGCAAATCTTTTCTTGCTTTAGTGTTTTGCATTTGCTGTATGTTGGTCCGATGGGTTTGATGCCTGCAGTGTGTGCATACTATTGATCGGTTGTATATTTGCTTCTATTAATAATGCACAACAAATCAAATATATATTGTTTATGTCTCTAGAATGTGTAATTTTGTATTACATTGGCCAATTTTCTTTCTTGTTTTCCAATTTAGGACCAGTTTGAAAATCTGGACAAACACACCCAGTGGGGGATTGACTTTCTAGAGCGCTACGCAAAGTTTGTGAAGGAGAGGCTGGACATAGAGCAGAGCTATGCCAAGCAGCTACGGTACGTTCACACTGACACATACAGTCATACATATCCATATATGAGCACAGTGACGTCACAGTTCCGGGAACACAGTGTGACATACATTTCTTACTTGTAAAAATAAAAACAAAAAAGACAATATTTTTCATCTCTTAACTTCAGTGATACATATTTTATGTTGCTCATTAAGTGACAATTTTGGTCACAGTTATTTAATTGTTTGGATCCATCTGCTTCCAGACAAAGTTGCAAATTTCTTTGCCAATAATGGCTGTGCTCTCATACATGCATCTGAAGCTTTGGATAAACATGAGGCCAACACTCTGTTAGCTGCTCTTTGGTTAACAATCCAACTACTGAGTGCAATACAGGAGTCTGCATTTCCCAGAGCCCCGGGGAACGGGCAGGCTGAGGCTTTGATGTTTAAATCTTAGATCAATCTCTAATAACATGCTTGGATCCTTTCCCGTTGTGTGTGGGTCGGTTTGGGAATTTGGATGTCTCTCTGTCTGTGTGTTACGTTCAGCTTTTTTAACTGCAGGATTAAAATATCAGACAGTGCCTTTAGCTTTTATGTCTTCCTCTCTCCCATTTAGAAATCTGGTGAAGAAATACTGTCCAAAACGTCCAAAAGATGAAGAGCCAAGGTGAGGAGCGTCCCATTTTTTTTCTTTTAATCCTTTACTTGATACTTTAGGATGACTACGGATAGGAGCAATGGAAAGTCCTGCTGGAATCTTGATGAATAAATGCTGACTGTTCATTAAAAAAAAATAAGACCTCAGCCGTGTGTTTGATGTGGCTCCTCACATTCTGTCTGTGAAGTTACCAAACAATGTAATCCGTCACATAAAACAAAGCTTTTTGAATGGCTTTATGTTAGGGCAGACCTTTTTAATTTTTTCTCCTAAAACCACATAAGAATTGTACATCAGTGTCATTCCTAAAATTTCATTAAGGATTCAAAATATTCTATTGTGAGGAGAAATAAATAAATAAATGATTAAAAAGGGCAGTTATATAAAACAGATCTTTTTATTTTTCCTTGAGATGAATCTGAGGATAATTCTGTAAACTTCACATATCTATGATTAGCTGTTGAGAATTTTCCGTCTTTTGGATAATAAAGGGTGTTTATATTTCATTTATAAAAGGTGAAGTTTTTCTTATGTTATTCTCTTTCCTACTGTACAGATAAAAGCTTGTTGTTAATTGTTAATTAATAAACTTGTGGGAGTCTCCAGCATTGCTTTGCACTTATTTGCCTTATCCACTCTACTGGCATATGAAGAAAAACTTGTAATTTAAATATTTTAAAATAATTTCTTTGATGAATTGATATCAAGATCAACAATCGGGGATTTTATAAGAAGATTCATTATTCTGTCATAAATATAAAAATCAAGTTACTGACATGTAGGTGCTGATGCAAGTAAAAATGTTGATGATCTTTAGTATGCAAGGGCTCTAACCTCACTGTGTCACAGTGTGAACAGGTGAGGTCTATTTATTGAGGGAACCTTTTATTGAGAATGTTTTAGTTCAAATGCGTAAGGTGTGACTTATATGCAAATGATTGTTTTAGACAGACATGATATCTGATCATATCGATCACAGATGCATACATTGAAATGAATCCAAATACTTTTAGGACAGAGTCTCTGTTCTCAGGAATAATTTTATCATCATCCAAACAAATCAATGCAAATATGTATGATACTAAAACTGGAGATGTACACTTTTATTGTAAAAGATAGCAGTTAGTATTAAACAGAGCCGCAATGTAGCTTTATTTAAATATCTCAAAGACATGATTGCAGAGCTGACCTTTTAAACCCTTATTAGCCCTTTAGCATTAAGGCAGCAGTAGATTAGTAAAAATACTCTGATCTTAATTAACTTGGAGATTTCAAAGTTGCACAAGTTCTATGTTAGACAGAATTGGACTCCTCTTAATGATAACATTAGTTTCCTTTCCAGAAGCTCCTCATACCTTTCGCACCTCTTCCAGCTTTTTTATTAGTATACGATTTGCCCATTTTGCAGGTTCACATCCTGTGTGTCGTTCTACTCCATACTGGGCGAACTTAACGACTACGCTGGGCAGAGGGAGGTGGTGGCAGAGGAGATGTCTCATAAGGTTTACAATGAGCTAATGAGGTACAGCCAAGAGCTGAAAGCTGAGAGAAAACATGTGAGTATTGTATGGAGTCCATACTTTTCTGCTTTGTGAATGTCACTGGCTTTGTTGTGGCTCCCAGTCCTAAAGCAGATGTTCCATTGGAGCCTTCTGTGTTGCTTATGTTCATGTTTTTTTCTGTTTGGCTTTAACTCTAAGGATGAAAATGTTGGATGTGATGTTAACCATCTGTCGTCATGTTTCTACCGTCTGTCGATGAAAAGCTAAAAGTACAACTGCATCTGTTTTTGAAAAACAGTGTCCTTTACTAGTTTTGTATTTTACTTTATCTGATTTTATTGAATTAAAAAGGCAAAATTTCATTGTCTAGAAGTGGTTTAATTATTTAATGTATCAGAATAATACCTGAGATGGCCTGAAATGCAGAATATAAATCTTGTAAATCTTCTATTTAAAAACAGGCGTCTGTGCAAAGTAATTTGATTGCAGTGCAGTCGTTTACACCACTGGCTAAAACAACAGCAATCCACCTGCCTTTGTGTTTGTTTCTTTGTTACAGTGTCCAAATATTTTTGTGGTCTGCTTATTTATGTGTGTTTCTTGTTTCTGTATAAACGCGTCTGTATGGAAATGAGAGCAGCACCTACAGGAAGGGAGAAAGGCTCAACAGTTTTTGGATCACTGCTGGAAACAGATGGACAATGTAAGTTGGGGAGGGGGGGGTTGTAGAGAGAAAACATGTTTATGGTGAAATATTTTCTGTCAGGGTCAAGCAGCTGCTTATCTCTCATGCTAACTCACAGGAGGAGGGCATGATAGAATTGCTAACAGAAGTAGCTAAAGAACCTACAAATTTTTTTATCGCTTTAACTCTTAAAAAGCTTAATTTTAGTCGAGGGAAAACTATTTTGTTCATCTTTATCTGTTTTAAGAAGTTGTTAATAGAACTTACAGAAGATTTTTTTCTGCTTTGGCCCAAAATCAATACAAACTGTAGCTTTAGATAATTTTATTGCCTTTTATAAAGTGAATTGGCATCTTTTTTTTTATCCTTGCCAACATTCCTGATTCTTAACACCAAGGACAGTTTTCAGGCAAAGGACAAAAAAAATAATGGCAGCAGTGCCTAACTAAACCTCTTGAAACAAGATATTTACTTACATCAATGTGTTTTTTTTAGATGCTGGTTCTCTTTAATTTACATTCATAGTTTCTTAGGAACTAGCTGTTATTTTTAGATTCATACATTGGTCATTTGCAACCACAGGTTTTGGTTTTGGTTGTTTCGGAACACCTCACTGTGCGGTCTGTGTGACTGTAGCTGTGACTACCTAATGACTGGACTGTAATGTCTCAGCTATTCACTGTTTCCTTTACTGCTGATGTGATCCAGATGGTCCATCAGGAAGTAAAGTATCTTAGGTCTGATTCATCACCCTCTTATTCACATATTTTCCTTTTTTTTTATTTACAGAGACAGGAAACGATATGAATGCGTTGCAATGGACTTAGAGTTTATATTCTTGCTATAGTCTGAATAAACTCTGAATTTTTTCCCTTTTTAGAGTAAAAAGAAGTTTGAGAGAGAGTGCAGAGAAGCGGAGAAAGCCCAGATGACCTTCGACCGGTTGGATAATGATATCAATGCAACCAAGTCAGAGGTGGAGAAGGTGAGCGGGATCCACCCGCAAAATAACCCAATAATAAAACAACCCCAGCCCTGCAGCATATCATTCCTCTGTAGATTGTGAGACTAATAATAAATTCTCACACTCAGACCTATTCAATAAAATATTAAAAGGTTTATTTCACTAACTCAGCTCACTAAGTGAAAATCATGTTATAAAATAACAAAAAAAAAACCAGACTAATTAGTTGAAAACTTAATCCTCCTGGATCATTTGTTGATATGCTTTTGGTAAGACGGCCACTCTTCACAAGGTTCTCAAGTTTTCTCGACTTATGAATAACGGGTCTCACTGTTGTTTTCTGGAGCTCAAAAGCCTCAGAAAACCTTTTTAACCTTTGCCAGACAGACAGATGTCTCATCTGTTATAGTCTAGAAAGGGATTGGCTGTGTTCCAGCTTTAGATTATTTACTCTACGTCATTCTGTAAGCCTGGTCCAGTTTAATATGATTTCATGTTTGTAAGTAAATCGAGTGAAATTGAACTTTACTTTCTGAAAATTTTGGTAAATTTAACTTAATTTATGATCTAAATTATTTGCCTTCTATATAGTTATCTAGGTCACCCCTATCAGATATGAGAATTTATTTAACGATCGGAAATATTTAAGTGTGACAATAAAAGACAGAAGTATGTAAAGGAGGCTGTACTTCTTTTAAGCTGAACTCGCCTAATAAATCAAATATATTGGATCCATTTTCTCTCTTTTGGTCCGGACTGGCTTTAGGTTGGATTACTTGTTTGGTTTCTACTGTCCAGTTACATGATAACATATTGTTTGTATTTCTGTTCAGGCCAAAGCCCAACTCTACATGCGGACTCACATGGCAGATGAGAGTAAAAACGAATATGCCGCCCAGCTCCAGAACTTTAACGGAGAGCAGTGGAAACACTATAATAACTCCGTACCACACATATTCAAGGTAAAGCAAACACACCCAGTTAGTTAAAGCAGTTTTGGTCATTTGATAATTCATATTTGTTCATCTGTAGGTGTTAAATGCAACATTTTAAGTGTCTCTGTTGGTCATATTCAAACTCATCATGAAGCTGTATTAGATTTGTGTGGTTGGAAAGAATTAGGTTTGTTTTATTTATCTGTTTCATCTTTCAGACAGAAGTTCTTATTTTCAGGACCTGTTATGTAACCTGGTTGTGGATTTACTTGGCAACAAACCTATTCTTTTTTATGTTTTGGTTCATGATTTATTTTTTTCCACCACTTCAAACTCCAGAGATACTTAAAGAAAGAGGATGGAAATAAACATTAAGATTGGCCCAGTTTTACTTACCAGACTTATGGCAACGTTAATGCTTATATATCATATTGAGCACATCATATTTTTTTTAACAATTTTTAATACAAAAAACGGATGATCACATGTTAACCTCTAAATAACTGAAGATGAAAGTCTTTATTTTTATGCAAAGTTTAATTTAAATATGATCCTTAAAGTGTGGCTATGTGAGAACACAACACAACATACCAACAAATAAAATTGCATTAGATTAGGATGAAGGTCTGTGCTACATGAGCCCAGTGGAAAGCCGGATGCATTGCCACAGATCAACCTATTCTGGCTATGAACTGTTTATCCCACTTCCATTAGGAAAATGGTTTATCTGCAATATTTTTAAATCAAATCGGTTTTAAAAACATTTTGTTCCCAAAGCTGTGAAGACAGTGTCCCCCCGTAGAGACTCAAGTGAACATTTTATAAACAATGGCCATTCCCAGACTGCTCTAGCATGAGCTGCATTTTATGTATATACATTATGAGTCCTCCCCATGTACAGATATATCACTTCGTCCTTCACATTTTAAGCTATTGTATTTAAAGGTATAGTGGACAACCTTGTACCCGCTACGAGAGGGAACACCTATTAAACTTGTGCGGGAGCATGCAGGAGTCCATTCATCCTCTCGCTATGTTTAAAATTTGCCGTTTACATCACTCACACAAGCTTACTTTCCAAAAGAATATTTGTTAATTTTCCACTACGTCAGACTTACCACCGGTAAGTGAAAAAGGGAATGAGCACATAGGACTGCCTTACGTAAACTTATCACCAGAATGATTGACAATTAGGAGGACCACTTATTTTGATGATCCATCCGGAGAAAGAACATCCTCCATTATACCTTTAATGCATATTATTTGGGTTATTGTTTTGTACTTTTTTAGGTAATAAATCTTTAGAAACTATTTTATTTAATTTTAAATCATGTACATTGTCCAGAGAATATAATGTTTTTGTAAAAGATTATCAGCATGCTAACAAAGCACCAAATTTGACCAGATCTTTGTACTGATGCAGACTGGTATTGTGATTAAATGGAGTGCTTCATTAACATATTAACTCAACAACTTCTTCTGTATAAACTAAGCTAATCTATTGGCTGTTTATTAGCTACATCTAGATGATGAATTTTCTTACTTGCTTAGATGTTTGCACACATAGGAGTCTTAGTGAGGTATCTGTATGAGCATTTACGCTCTGCTTTCTTCCTCCGTTAAGAACATTCAAGACATGGATGAACGGCGAACAGTAAAACTCGGCGAAACGTATCAAAGGTTTGCAGAGGCAGAGAAGAGAGTCATTCCCATCATCTCCAAATGCCTAGATGGAATGGTTTCTGCTGCTAAGGCTGTGGATGCGCGGCGGGTAAGTTTAGACTGAAAGAAAAAATGATTATCTTTAAAAAACCAGCCTATTAAATCAGCCTTCCCTTTTATTTGTCCCTTCTTAATAGGATTCCTCTATCGTTGTGGAGTCATTTAAATCTGGCTTTGAACCACCGGGAGATTTTCCGTTTGAGGATTTCAGTCAGCACTTAAGCAGGACGGGATCAGACGGGACCATCAGCAACACCCCAAAAAGTGACAGAGACCTGGGCCCGATCCCGCGTTCCGAAGCAAAACACACCATCGGCAGAAGCAAGAACAAACTCTGGCTATTTGGGAAAAAACCAAAGGTACATAAATGACGCCTTATTTCTTCATGTGTTTGGTGAAATCACTCAGCTTGAGTTGTTGCATCCTGAGCAGGAAATTTATTTTCTACCCAAATCTGCTGCATTAATGTTATTTTGCTTTCACTTCACCCATCACATTATTTATATATAAGTTATGGGCATTTTTTACCTTTCAAGTCCCTCCTCTGCTGCAGTCTTTGGACCCTGACCTGCTTCTAAAGCACGCTGTTGGTCACTGATTAACCACCTGTGTCTGGTTCATGTTTAACCAATCAGCTGCCTCCTGCTATCAGCAATCTGACTGATAGATGGGGTGTGCGTTTGTGTACATGGGACAGTTTGTTTAACTCTCAGTGCCTTAAACCTTCAGACCAGATCATTCTTCACAGCAGATTATGATTTTTTGCATTTTAGATTGAAATTTGCGTTGAGCAGGACGATGACGCCAATAGTTTGACTTACTGACTTTCATTTAAGCAACAAAGATAGTAAGACGTTTCACACTTATTAAGAGCTGAATACTCCAAACGATCTGCATCTTTATGAGTCAGTCTTGATTGTGTGCATGTTAATGACATCACCTGTTAAATAAAAAGACGCAAAGAGGAAGAAATGTGGAAATGTTTCTAACAGGAAATCCATCTGGAAAGAAAATTTATTTGACTTGTCAATATTTTATAATTAAAAAAAATACAGAGTCTCGGACATAAGAGAGTATTGCTGATAAAAAAAAAAATATATATAGACCTCTACAGTCTTGGAATACATCTATTTTTTAATTACAGTATCATAATCTCACACTGATAACAATTAAGCACCATTAATATAAACACAATTGTTTTGTACAATGTTTTCATTAGAATCACACAGTCATTAGGTCTCGTTACGATCTCTTTAAAGTGAATGCAAATGAAAGGTATTTTTAAAAATGCATAGCTTCCTCCCAAGTTCATCAAAGCTTATTAAAAAATCTTGTTAACAAATACAACTTTCTGCATTTGTGACATAACACTGCAGCCAGGTTCCTTTATCCACTGACCGCTAGCCTGGACAAGGACCAGTGGTTATGTTACCTGTGTTACTCTTTGGGAGGTATGCCAGTAAAACAAAAAAAAGCACTTCTGCCTTAATCTCGTAAATGTAAACATGTTCAGTTTTCCTACCTCTACTCACATTTAAACCCTCACCTACAGGTGCTGGTCATAAAATTAGAATATCATGAAAAAGTAGATTGATTTCAGTAATTCCATTTAAAAAGTGAAACTTGTATATTATATTCATACATTACATACAAACTCATATATTTCAGATGTTTATTTTGTTTAATTTTGATGATTACAAATGACAACAAATGAAAATCTCAAATTCATCATATCAGAAAATTAGAATATTACTGAAGACCAATAAAAACAAAGGATTTATAGAAATGTTGGCCAACTGAAAAGTATGAACATGAAAAGTATGAGCATGTACAGCACTCAGTATTTAGTTGGGCCTCCTTTGGCCTGTATTACTGCAGCAATGCGGCGTGGCATGGAGTCGATCAGTCTGTGGCACTGCTCAGGTGTTATGATAGCCCAGGTTGCTCTAATAGTGGCTTTTAGCTCTTCTGAATTGTTGGGTCTGGTGTATTGCATCTTCTTCTTCACAATACCCCATAGATTTTCTATGGGGTTAAGGTCAGGAGAGTTTGCTGGCCAATTAAGAACAGGGATACCATGGTCCTTCAACCAGGTACTGGTAGCTTTGGCACTGTGTGCAGGTGCCAAGTCCTGTTGGAAAATGAAATCTGCATCTCCAAAAAGTTGGTCAGCTGCAGGAAGCATGAAGTGCTCTAAAACTTCCTGGTATGTGGCTGCGTTGACCCTGGACCTCAGAAAACACAATGGACCAACACCAGCAGATGACATGGCACCCCAAACCATCACTGACTGTGGAAACTTTACACTGGACTTCAAGCAACGTGGATGAAGTGCCTCTCTTCTTTTCCTCCAGACTCTGGGACCTTGATTTCCAAAGGAAATGCAAAATTTACTTTCATCAGAGAACATGACTTTGGACCACTCACCAGCAGTCCAGTCCTGTTTCTCTTTAGACGCTTCTGACGCTGTCTGTGGTTCAAGAGTGGCTTGACACAAGGAATGCGACAGCAGAAACCCATGTCTTTCATACGTCTGTGTGTGGTGGTTCTTGAAGCACTCACTCCAGCTGCAGTCCACTCTTTGTGAATCTCCCCCACATTTTTGAAGGGGTTTTGTTTCACAATCCTCTCCAGGGTGCGGTTATCTCTCTTGCTTGTACACTTTTTTCGACCACATCTTTTCCTTCCCTTCGCCTCTGTATTAATGTGCTTGGACACTGAGCTCTGTGAACAGCCAGCCTCTTTAGCGATGACCTTTTGTGTCTTGCCCTCCTTGTGCAAGGTGTCGATGGTCGTCTTTTGGACAACTGTCAAGTCAGCAGTCTTCCCCATGATTGTGTAGCCTATAGAACTAGACTGAAAGACCATTTAAAGGCTTTTGCAGGTGGTTTGAGTTAATTAGCTGATTAGAGTGTGGCACCAGGGGCCATCAATTTTGAACCTTTTCACAATATTCTAATTTTCTGATATGATGAATTTGAGATTTTCATTTGTTGTCATTTGTAATCATCAAAATTAAACAAAATAAACATCTGAAATATATGAGTTTGTATGTAATGTATGAATATAATATACAAGTTTCACTTTTTAAATGGAATTACTGAAATCAATCTACTTTTTCATGATATTCTAATTTTATGACCAGCACCTGTAAGTGATTTTGTAGGAGGAGACTGAGATCCAGCTTTCTGGGCAACAAACACTCCAAGTAGGTTTGATGTGAAACAAATGGTGAATATGAAGCACCTCATAACTACTGTTAAGTGTAGTAGAGAATTTGTGATTCTGTGGGCCTTCATTTGATAAAAAAAAAAAATCCTGTATCATTTCACGGGATTTTAAATAAAGTCTTGTGGGAATAATTATCCCAGACATGATGGCAAGAAAAAAAAGAAATGGTTCACCTGCTGCTTTCTAGACAAAATAACTGACTTGTGTGCAGAGGAGAGGGCCGACTTCCCTCTCTTTGAATCCCTTTAACCTTGTAGAAATATGTCCCCCTGGCAAAAAGGGGAATGTGCAAAGTCTAAACAGCAGGGGAGGATTTTCTAAATATTTCAGGGTGAGACATTTATGCTCCCATGGAAGATATATTTATGTTGAGGCCTTTAGTGAGGGAGGTTAAAATATATCGGTGCTTAACATGCATGTAAACATGGATGTATTTTCAGCTTCTCTTAGTATCTTTGTAGAGGGTCAATTTACCAACAAATGTAGTGGAATGAGACGTTCTTAAGGTGAATAAGTTGGTTTTACTGTCAGTGTGACCATGACGACACGCCCCCACAAATCGAATAAACCTGGAGTAGTTGGATGATAAGGGAACAAACACCTAACAGTTGTTTTCATTTGACTTCTGGCCTTGTCCCTCCACCCTCCTCCTCACCAGTCCCCATCCTTTCTCCCTCCTCCGCCACCTTCCTCATCCTCCTCCCCCTCTTACTGTCATCAGCGGTCCACCTCCCAATTCTTCCCTACGGCACGCTTCAACTCCGACCTTGTAAGCCACTATCTGTCTGAGATAAAGACTACAGTACCCAAAATCCCTCAGAACATAAGAGGTCTGAGGAGAGGGGTGAGACGAGACGTATCCATGAGTTTGAAACCGGTTTGTTTTTTATTTCTCTATCATTTTGTTTCAGGGTCTCTGCAGGTTACGGTTCTCTGTAAAATCTCTTAAATGTAGGATTGGATTATGAAATATTGGTCTAATAATATTAAGAACATCATAAATGTCAAAGTCTGAGAACCTGCAGACATCCTATTATATTACTCTTTCTGATTCTCCCCCTTTCTTTCTTGTCTTTGTTTCATTCCTTTTGTTGTTTTTGTGTGATTCCTTATTTATAAGGCCGAGGTGTCCTTCAATCACAGAGCTGAGGACCCCTGGTGATTGACAGCGTGCCGGTGTGTTGAGGGTTTTGGTGGGGTTTGGGCTTTGTTTGCTGTATCTTGTTTTAGTTAGTGCATGTGAAGAGGCGATAACAGCTGAGGATGAGGTTACCAACATTGGGTGTGCTGCAGATGTTGGTTTGGCTGCAGTCTGAAGTGCTGTTTGTGTGTGCTAACACTGCCAATAAGCTGTGAAACAGAGCTTTGAGCTCTCAGATGGTTCAGCATAAACTTGTAAATAAGACGCAGCTTCAGTGCCAAGCTAAATCTGGGTTTATTTTTGCAGATTCTGTCAGAGCCATCTGTGATTTTCATGTTCAATCCTCCCTCAGTTGAATGAAGAGACAGTCTGTCTGCTAAATTTCTCACTGTTGTTATTTAACTTTTAGAAAAAGAGACAAAGAAGTAAATAAAATCTACACCATGTATGGAGGTCAGAGTTTTACCAAACTAGTCACTCAACTTTTTAAAGCCAGCTACTTATAGCTTATTATTATAAATGTAAATATTACTTATTACTTTTAGGTTCATTGAAAATGCTTGACGCCTTGTATTGTACTCACAAAACAACCTTATTTAAAAAAATACTCAAATGAATTTGCACAAAGAAAAAAAAAAGAGAGGAATTTATAGCATAAAATACTTGCTGTTTAGGTTATAGAAGTATTTTAAACTTTAGTTTTTTTATTTTTATTTTGATTAATAAGCTAAATCATAAATATTTATTGAACATCTGCTAAACTTAGCAATAATTTCCCAGAGATAATTGCAAAGAATATCAATGTTCTTTTTATAGTGGATTTGCAGTGATATAAAAAAGAAAAACTATCCACCAACCATCGGGTGGATCTTCTGATAATCGATCAGAAGAGCAGTTTTAGTCTGTAGTCTGTGTGTCTCGCCTGCTAAATATTTCATTCATTATTAAGGATTTTTCAGTGTCGCTGAAGAGGATGTATGAAATGTATTAGTGGCATATAGGAAGAAAAATATGGCCGGTATAGTAGTGTTGAATGACATAAATCCTCCAGCTCTACCAACCCGTCTATGTCTTTATTATTCCTCTGTTTACTTATTCCAATTAGTGATAAAATGATTAAAAAACTTTCTTTTATTCATCTCTGATTTACACGATTTATAACTCAGAATTTTCATCTAAATAGCTTTATGAAATATCTGGTTAGTTATTTAGAGTGCAGACCATAGGTTAAAAGGTGTATTGCTGCAAGCATTTTGAACACTAATATAAAGGTTAGTCAGAGGATGTGATTGATCTGATTGATCAGGTTGTTTGTTTGGGAACCAACTAGCATTCACCCATTCAACAGAGATAGTCAGTAGATTAATTACAATACATTAAAAAATGTAATTCTTCATCAGTAATAGGTGGAGCTAGTTTATTTGCCTTGTCATAAGTGTCCCTGTTTTTAGCCTCCAGAAATATTTCCTAAACAGACATATTTTGTTGCCAAGTAGTTTGAGTCTCTAAGCACCTTTCTGCTGTCTCCATGTATTTCAGGCAAAACATGGACAACACCAATTTAACAAAACTTTATATACTTCAAATGATATTGTTACATCTTTTTTAGCAAATGTTATATTTTTAGTAGTGCTAGAGACTATTTTTTTATTTTAATCATATTTTGTTTGATTATTTTGTTTTATTTTTCTGTAAACGCCATGAAGCTATGGTGCTTAAAACAAAGGTTATCATATTGTGATGTCAGCTCATGTCATTAAAAAAAAAAATAATCTGAATCTGTTTTGATTTCCTTTGAATATTTGATATCCTGACTGTAATTTCAACACAAACACTGATGAAAATTAGTCATGACTTTACCTGACATCTAATCAAAATGTTTCTTTTCTTACTTTAATGGTTTATGCTCAGTGGTCACTTAAGATGGTAAGTTAGTTCAGTACATGTTTAGTATGTAAAGTAGTGCTGCGACCCAGCGGCTAACAGTACCACTCCTCTCCCTCTGTAGGATCTACCTAGTGTCCACCACTCTGCATAAAGCCAGTAGAGACAGTAAAGCACTTATTGCACGTAGTTCAACTGTAATGGTGTCTGTGTGACAAACAGATGGCTGTGATACTAACATAATATTTAACACAAATAACAACTTAGAAAGAAAGAAAGAATGTATCACTCACATGAAATGGCTCTTGTTCAAACAACGCAGCATATGAATCGATATAATCTGCTTATTAGCTCGTATAACAACCAAAACCTTAGAAGTTAAACTTCTAGTTCAGTTGATTCATGCTAGCTTTAATTCATTATTTTAGCAACAGATGGAGAAAAAAAAACAGATCCAACTGCTGCATTTGCATCTTTAATGATTAATCTACTGGTTTACATGAGGATAGAACAGATTGGGATTTATGGGAAATAATTTTATCATCAGTATTAAATAATATGAAATGCCTTAAAAAACCCTCTCAGCTATTTAAAGAAAAACAGCCATGTCTTGTTTTTACTCGAGTATTAAGGAGAAAATAAATAACAGAAACATCCAGAGCCACTTGAATTATTTCTATGATCCAAAGCTTTCAGTTGGCCTTCAGGATCATAATCAGTCCATCCTCTATATTAACACTCCAGGAAACTTATCAGTTGTGTCAGCGAAGCCCTGCTGGTACTAATTGTGCGTCTGATCACCAGGTACCCTCTCTGGAGGATTTCAGCCACTTACCTCCTGAGCAGAGGAGGAAGAGGCTACAGCAGAAGCTTGATGAACTCAATAAGGAGCTTCAGAAGGAAACAGATCAGAGGTGAGAAATTCTGAATTCTGTCATTCAGATTCAGCAGCATCAGAGAAATCAAGTCGCTGTGTTTATGGATCTATTTATAAAACCTCCTGTTTTTATTAGGGATGCATTGAACAAGATGAAGGATGTGTATGAGAAGAATCCTCAGATGGGCGACCCCAACAGTCTGCAACCAAGAATCTCAGAGACCAACTGTAATATCCAGAAGCTGCGTTCAGAGATCCACAAAAATGAGGTACAGAGGAGAAGCTTGCCATATAACAAACTTTGGTTAGAGCAGCTCCTATGCAGGTGATTGAAATGCTTTCTTTCATCAGGAGGAAGCCTTTTTTTTGAAGGTGTGAATAAACATACAAGGATATATAAAACTAAATCTTTCCTCATTAATCTCATTGCTCTCCTGACAGACCTGGCTGTCTGAGGTGGAGGGCAAGCAGAGCTCCAGGGGAGACAGAAGGCACAGCGCAGACAACCACCATCACACTCCTCATGGCAGGGAGAGGTAATAAATTCTGTTTGCAGGATCTGATCCATAATGACGAGCTTGTGCATCATCATTAAAGGAATAGTACACCCAAAACATGATTAGCCTTCATTTTCTACTAGAAAATGAAGGCTAATCATGTTTTGGGTGTACTATTCCTTTAACCTGAATGAGAGTTTGGGCTGAATCTGGAAACTTCCTGCTCCACCATCCAGAACCACCTCTTGCTTTACCCTGTGTATCATAACTTTGGTGTTTATCCATTCAGATGAATGTTAATTATCAGGTATTAATGGTACCTTATAGCTCATAAAAATGTGGGTTCACCTAAATGAGGTCTCTAACACTTAATTGGTTGTTAAAGGGTTTTGGCTTTAAATGAAGGCAATTCAAGGTTGTGACTAATTAGTTGGAATCCAGTTCACTCTAGTAGATTAGTACAATAACTGCTTCAAAAGAACTTGAAGAAGTGAAACTTTTTGTGGTGGAATAAATGCTTTTTTAAGAAAACCACTCTTGGCTCCGTTAGCGGTTCCTCTGGCCTTTTGACAGATGATCATTTGATCCCATTCCCCTGTTGAAGGAGCATTTAAACTCTCTAGGTCAGGCTCTAACCACAAACCTTTATCCTGCATGTTTTAAATGTGTCCCGGTCATGTTAATAGACATATAGAGTCGGACTTCATCACAAAGTTCTGCAGATGAATGGATTATATTAATGGAACTAGCAGAACATCTAAAATATGCCCTGGTCCTGTTTTGTACTCCTTTCTTTCCTACAGGGTTATGGGGCTGGGCTGGTTATGAATTGCAGTTTATTTATGTACCTGGAAATTATTGCTTTACCAATTGAATTATTTAGGATCATTATTCTGGCAAAAAAATGATGACCAAGGGATTTGTTTAGTTTATAATATCATTCGAAGAAGGTGTCATATAGTCTAACAAGCCCACAGCATCATGGGTCCTCCACCACATTTAACTGTAGACAAGAGGCCAAATTAAAAGCTTATTTTGAAAGCACACAATTGAAGTCCAGGTAAAGGTGATATTTATTTATTTTTTTAGCTTGCCTTTTGAGCAATCAATCATCTTGTAGATGGCATCCAAAGGGTTTTTGAAAACCTTGAGACATTTTCGGCCATAGTTGGTAGCTCTTCAACAGCAATGGACTCCCTTACCATCCTTCTAGCTGTGTGTGGCTCCAAAACAAACTGATCCAACTTAATGACCAGTGGCTAAAATGAACAGGCCAAATGTCATTTAAACCTTGTTGAAGCAGAAGGTTATGCATATGATTTTTGTTTTTACTGCATTGATGTACCTATTCAAAGCTAGATCTTTCTAAATAATTCAGTTTTATATCATGCTCTGCCAACAGAGGGTGAGAATAGAAGTAAAAATATTCTAATATGTGTACGTCGTTACTGGGGGGCCACAAATGTGTCCATGTTTGTACTTACTGTCTTTTCTTTTCCATGTTATGCTTTCAATGCCTCAGCATAGATCCCCGTTGGCTTTGATGAAAAATTTTTTGACCTAAAAAAAAAGGAAAGAAAGAAACAAAATAAAACTCATAAACCTTCCTCCTATTTTTAAAAACACAAGGCCTTCTAGTCAGCAGTTCTTTACTTCTTATATTCAGTGCCATTGTTCTGCTTTTTTGCAAAGTTATTGGAGTTATTCATTCAGAGTGTGTTTCCTTTCAGCCCTGAGGGCAGTTACACAGACGACACCAGCCAAGAGCATCACACGCCACGCCACCGCCCCGCGCAGCCGACTCAGCCAATCCACGACCCTCATGAGTTTGATGATGAGTTTGATGATGATGATCCATTGCCCGTCATCGGACACTGCAAAGCGCTCTACTCTTTTGATGGTAGAAACAAACAAAACGGGGGAATTGAGGGTGCAGGACCAGTCAAAAAGAACTTGTAGTTTCTCCAGGCTTTTGTCTTTTATCTGTGTTTGAAGTTCAGAAAGGTTGGAAATGACAGCCGCTTTAGCCTGTGAACAGAATCAACACTGATTGTGCTTTTCCTTTGTTTTATAGGTCAAAATGAGGGGACCCTGACAATGGCAGAGGATGAGGTAATGTTTCTTATCCATTTCTTGATTACAAAGGCGCCATCATGTGGTCTTCTGTAGAACTGCTTTAACAACCGATTATTTAAAGCAGTTTTTTTTATCTACTCATTTTCAGCTGTAAGGAAATCAGTTATAGCAGAAGATCGCTTAGTAGTTTTTTTAACCTGGAGCTCAAAGGCCACTTCCCCTGCATGTTTTAAAAGATTCCCTGCTTCAGTTTCCATTGATGGGTGACTAGCAAACATTATGCTAACACGGAAACTTCAAAAACATGTATAGCGGTGTGTCTCAAGGACCAGGAATGAACACCCCCCCCCCCCCCCCCCCCCCCCACTTTCGCCACAAGTCATAATCTTAATAGTTTGGTCCAAACTGTTATCAGAAAGTTTCATATAAAGTTTTCAAATTCCAAAAAGCGGAATTAAATGTGGTGGGGTAAAGTTTGAGAAAATAATACAGAATTAAATTGTGAGGATTGGGTGTTTTTAGGGTTACATTAAGAACTTTTTCAGGTGTCTGTTGAGGTCCTGGGTTTAAATCTTTCTAAATTAAATTTGTATGGGTTCAAAGTGCAAAGTCTTCCTCCTGATGTCCAAAAATATAATAAATGTACTAAAAATATATAAAAAATGTAATAAATGTCTTTCTCCTAATGGCTTTTAGACGAGTTTCTTTCCAGTTTGTCATTGTTGGTGTTACTGTACAAGGAGACACCACCCTTCAGAGGCTTTCAGCTGATTTGATCAACCAGGATTCTTTAGATCCCACTGCTTTGGTCACATCTGTTCAAACTCTTGTTAGCCTTTTGTCTGAACTAAATATTAATCAAATAAATAGTATTTTAAAGCCAGAAATGTTATGAAGAAAATGTATGAATTACTATAAAGCTGTTAAAGATGTATTTATCTACGGTAATTTCAAAGTGTCCCGTTTGTTAATTATCGACCTTGCATTAGGCTAAACTTAAAGCTGACACTGAATGTCTCTTACCTTCTTACCTGCAGGTCTTATACATCATCGAAGAGGATAAAGGCGACGGCTGGACCCGGGCCAGAAAGCAGAGCGGGGAGGAAGGCTACGTCCCCACCTCCTACGTAGAAATCACAATTGAGAAAAACAGCAAAGGTGCCGTCACCTACATCTGAAGCCTCCCTGTCTTCTGTCTCCCATTCTCTCCATGTTTGCCTTAACCCCAGTTACACCGAACAAGACACTACACCAGAAACACTATTCAATCACCTGCATGGACATCTGTTCTGGGTTCCATCCCCTCTGTTTACCTCTCTGCCTTTTAGTTCCTTAACATTTTGTTCATTCACCCCCTCATGTTTGTAGGACTGATGAAGGGATGAGTGCCTGGGACAAATAGGACAAACCTGTTTGGTTGTTGTATATGAGTATTTTCCTCTGTTTGAGCTTAGTATCAATCAAGTTCTTTTTAAAGTTTTTGTAACATATTAGAAACACATTATTTTTGTTTAAAATAGTCTTTTATTAATAATTATGGTGCTTTTATTGTGGAAGAAGTAATCAAACATCCTGATTTTAAGCTCTATTTCTTTTGACCTTTGTTTGTTTATTTGTGTGTGTGTGTGTGTGTGTGTGTGTGCGCACTCTTTATCCGTGCCATCCAGCCAGTATATCTGGAACCATGCTGCAGTAACACTTTCTTAAGTCACTGAGGAGAATAAAAAAAAAATGCAGTTATTTTTATGCAGTATGCACAAGAGTTCATTTCATGCAGGTTTTTCATAAGAAACATTTTCTGTTTTCTTCCTGACAATAAACCCCACCACAGCTGATTTCCATGATTTGTTTTCTTTCCATTCATTAAGAATTAAAGATAAGCAGATATTAGAGCAGGTTTCAAAATTATTTAGAGAAAGTTGCATCTTCCTCACCCAAGCTGAAAACAGATCCAGAAATCAGATGGTGTATCAGAGCCTTTATAATAGGAATAATCTCTTTTATCCTTTAACATCTTATAGCTTTAGATGGGTAAATGCTTTTGTCTGAAACAGAGTTTTTAATAGATCAAAGGAAAAAAAATGCTTTTAAAATCCCCCAAAAAATAACAAATTTGTGAGTTGAAGATGTTTCTCACACCTTTATCCGTTAACCGAAATGAGATAGAAAGAGCACACATGTGGCTCGTAATGTGAATTATGAGCCGCATGTGTGCTCATTGACATCTCAATGCAGAACGCAAGTTTCATTCGTAGAGTTTATTAATATGGCTGTTGAAGAAAGAATAAACAGGAGGCCTTAACCTGCTGTTTCTGTGGGATTCGGTGGCAGGAAGTAAACCCACTATGACCATCTTGTAGAATTTGGTTTTATGCTCAATAGGATGAATGTTTGTATGAGGTTTGCAGGATTGTTTTAATAATCCAAAGTTTATTTTGGTTTCCTGCTGTGATGGTAAAAGCATACAGTGACAGTGCAGAATGAATGTAGCCGTGTTTTTACTGTATGTGCAGTCACAGCCGTAAATTCAGAAATAACTGTTGTGAATATCCTGCTAAGGTTATTTTAAACGGTTTCTTTTAAAAAGTTCTACCCACAATCTACTGAAGATAAAAAGTTCATCTTTGTTTGATATAAACAAATTAAAGCATTTTTAAGATGAATTTGTGTTCTAATTTATACACAAAGTGTAAAAATCTACGTATTTGCTGCAGAAAAGCTAATTTGACAATCTCTCTTTTAAAATTTTATTTTCCATGTTGAACAACATTTATTTCTATGTTTGAATTTTCTGTTTGTGATTTTTATAACGGTCTCTCTCCTCTTCGTGACTGCAGGTTCCTGAGGGCTGCAGAGTGGCCGGGCGATTTGATTGGCTGGTGGAGGGCTCACGCTGATTGCTGATAATTATTGGTGGTGGTGGTGACAGAGAGAGAAGAGGGGGGGAGGTAGAGAGAAGGGGCGGGGGCTGCTATGTGATGCATGTTTCTCTGCTCGTGTTTCCATAATCAACTAAAGTCAGATGGATCATATTAACACCATCTTCATTTACTTTAAGTAACATCCTGATTCTACAGATTAAAGCAACAGAGGCTAGAGAAATCTTTCAGACTGGGTGGTGGCAGCTAAAGCAGATGGCAGGTCATAAAACCACACGTCTTTTCTCCTGCATGCATTTCAGAGCGTGGGCTGAGCTCACTGAGAAAAGATGACAGTAAATAGATCATAGCTTAACTGCAGTCAGTATCATCATCACTATGTTTATCCATAAAACTACTTTTATTTTTCAATTTAATTAAATTAAAAAAGAACTTTAATTCCAAAAGAAAATCAAATGTTGGAGTTGTAGGTGTTTATATCTGTAGGCAGGAAGGATCTCCTGTGCCGTCTGACTTGCACTGGTATTGCATGTTTCTCTTGCAATTTTTTTTAAATAATTAACATAGTTTAAACTAACATTTTTGACCAGTGTTTATTTCATGAAAACAAATCCCTGCTATTGCAAAAGTCTTGACAATAAAAACCAACTCTGTTAGTTAATTTAGATAAAATATAAAATTGGGAAACATGGAGCTGCAGAAAAAAATTGTTATCTTTTAGAAACTGATGTTGGCTTAGCTCTGCCTGAGCCCTTTGTAAGGACTAATGAGTGAAGAACAACATGTTGTACCTGGGCTGTTAGATTTTAAACCAAGAAGGCCTAAAAACTTAACCTGACAACAGCCAGATGCATGTCTCGCTCCGCCCAGCTCCACTCACATACATCATATTTTATAGTTCTGATTTAAGCACAGTATGGATATTTACCTGAATCTTACTGCTCAGGTTGGACTTAAAGCTTGTCTGCAGAAAACAGAGAGTAATACAGAAGAGCTGGATGATATAGACAATTATGTTTTTTTTTTTTCTGTTTTAAATTATTTGTATAATCTTCTTGCTGTGGTTTGAAATGTACCACAAAGCTTCTAAACAGCATCCATTTCAGTTGTAACTAAAGCAAAAATTTCTTATAAATATTCTTCATAAATAGGAAGCTATTCAATCAACGTCGCCATAAAGATTACACACTACTTTATTCATTTGAGCGACTTTATGGACTAAAAAAAGTAGACATATAAAACAGCTATGTCTAAAAGTAATATATCAACAGTTTAATTTCAAAGTAAAGATAAGTTTGACAACAAGCATGAAATAATGCAAATGAACAATGGTGCTTTAAAAAACAAAACAATGGTGTTTCTTAGGTAACGGTGGCCTCACATGTTGCCTGATAGACCACTTGTATTGTGAATGTCAATGCTGCTTTCTTTTACTTGATAAATGATTGTAATCATTTTAACATGCAGCACTACTGTAAAGAACTAATGATGGTTAAAGGTGCATATCATCACCTGCAGAATGAACTGCAGTCAGTTTGGATGACATCAGGACAACTTGATGACAGTTTCAATAAAGGACTTACTTTTAGGAGATGAATTGGATCTGCAGGGTTTAAGGGCTGATCACAGTCCTACTCTCCATTAAAGCCGGTGTGTTATGTTCTTACACAGTCATTAAGGGATAACAACAAAGCTATGATAAATGTTTATTGTACCTAAGCTTATATCGGGCTGAATATGGGTCTGAAAGTACTGCAAATCTGCAAGCTGCCACTACACCTATTTAAAGACAGGTGCACCGTTTGCACATTTCTTACCAAAGTTGCTGCAGAGTTTATTTGAGAATCTTTCTAAATTGGCAACCTCCAAAGCTGCCATTTGTTTCTCATAGCAGCACGTTGCTGCCAGCTGATCATCATGGTCTATTAGCTGCCAGTATCGGATGTTTCCAGTGTTTACTGCCACTAACACCATCGGTGCTGCTGCACTCCATGTCACTCCTGTAATCATCTGTGTTCTGTTGGCGATGTCTGCCTGCCTGAGCCACTCTGCTCCTCATGCCTGCCTCCATCCTCACCAAACCGCATGTTTGTGATGTCGTTTCATCCAAGTGAACGTGACCCCGGCTGTGTATTTCGATGAATGCCACATTGTCTTGTTGTTCTAATGAAGCATGGTTTATTTCTGTTAATCTGTAACTTCTCTCAAAGCCCATTAGAGAGACAGCAGGACTCTCAGGTGAACACACAACCCCTCCTCCTTTTCCTCTCTACCATTTCTTTGCCTATTCCTCCTCTCATGTTAATCCGACCAGCAGAGGGCAGCCTTCTTTCACCAAAGCAACGTCCAGCTCCAGCTCAACTGGACCTCTTTTAATAACCCAGAACTACAAACAGAAGCTGAGGACTCTGCCTTAAACCCTCATGTTTTTTGTTTTTTTATTGAGACATTTTTACATATCTTGGCATTATGCCCAACTACATTTGCCATCAGCCTCCTGGGTTCACCCTTCACCTCTACAAATCTTAAAAACAAGTTTGTTTCATGTTATCAGCTGTTTGCGAATGTGACGACTCAAACGCACGTAGCAGCGTCCAGTATTGGAAACCATGCGGGCAAAAGAATGCCCGTCCTCCTACGTGTGTCATGTTGTTTTTTTTCTTCCCTTGAATGATTTGTACATATAAAGATCTGTATCATGCTGAATGTGTTTCCATGGTGATTGTTTCTATCTTAGCTTTTGTTTGAGTCGCCCTCTTCCTGAGAGACATGTTTAAACTGAAGAGATGCACTTTGCCCTAAAACATCATTTGAACCTGGTTAAATGAAGCATGGATGAATGAAGGACTGATGGATGGTCTGTGATGTGTGAATTTTTCGGAACGACCACTAAAACAAAATATATATATTTGTTTTGTAAACTTTTTGTAATTCAAAGCAATTACTTTATATTTGCATGATTGTTTTTTTTACATTTTTAATTCTGATTGTTTAAATACGGTCTGTCTGAGACACTAATGAGCACTAACTAGACCTTCCGACTTTTGAAAATAGTCTCCAACCAGCAGCTGGCTGTGCTTATGTTTCTTTGATGAAGCTGTGAAATATGCAGTATGATGCTGTAGATGTTATTCAATCTCCTTTTTCACGTTATCATGTCCACCTTCGTGTGTCTGATTTAGTGGCTGTAAGAAATGTACATTTCAGGACTTGGACAGTTTTAACCAGAAGTAAATCTGTGGCCTTTATGCAAAAACCTAACACTGAAACTTCTCTTTTTACATACAGGAATGAAACAAATTCATCTAAAAACACTTTTCATGTATTTTTCTGGCCTTTGAGCTGACTGATATGCTTGGGGATGTAAAGTGCTGCAAATTAAAGACCTCCAATTCTCCCTAAATGGATGAATTAAATGTATTATGTTGCATCTTCAGCCATTGGTTATTTCCCTTTATTAATCAAAGTTGTTTATTTTCTGATTTGAAAAAGATCAATATCTCTTAAAAGATAAAATAAATGCGTAGTCAAAAACATTTAAATTTGCTTTATATTTTCATCCTTTTTCAATCAGTTAAAAAATGTTTTTTGTTTGATAGCATTTTTAATGTATTAACTGGTATTACAGTTAAAGTATTTACATTGAAGCTCCAAATCTTTTTAAGTGGAAAGGCCTACTTACCATCACCCTAATCTTTGGTTGGGTCTCTTGATTTAAACTGCTTTACTGAATGCTGGAAGACACATTTATTGAATTTTAAGATTATTTTAAACCTTAACATCTGAATCCTGCATGTAGTGATATAGGCTATTGATAAATATCCCTGAAACACCGTTATCCACATGCCTTTAAACTGCCTTAAACATCAATAGTTTGGGCTTAATTGGATTTTTTAATTTATTTGATCAAAAAAGCATTTTTTAAATAGGTTTCTGTAGCTGAATGCAGAAAAACATTTCAACCAAATTTAGTTTTAACTCCATACTGGAAAACTGATATGGATTACCACCCCCCCACCCTAACTGCTCTGTTTGCGAGACAGGTCGTCCAAAGATGTCCAACGTTTGGTGATATTAAGTAAGAAAAGACAAAAACAAGAAAAGTTATTTGTAGGAACCTGAAATAAATATTATTTGGATAGCGTTACATCTTTTTCAATGCAAAAAACAATCATAAGTGTTGCAGCAGGGAATTCAAATGTAGCTTTTTCAGTATATACAGATTTTCTACTTGCAGATCTACAGTGACTTTTACTACAGTTCTAAATCAGTTTGTTCTATTGAAAGCTACTTTGATTATGATCCTGAAACGGACCAGATATCTCTTGTTTTTATTTTATTCTTCTTCCAAGCAGGTCCTGTGGAAACCTTGTATTTAAGACCCTTCATAAAATGTAACCCTTTTTTCCCCCTCTTACGGACCCCAGAAGCAGTTTGTAGGTTTTAGCAGGGTAGTAACATGTAAATCTGTTCTCAGTATGTTGTAACCATGGCAGTACTTCACTCTTCATATTGTTGTGCACATTTTTTCTATTTACTTTGAATGTTGTCAGATACTATGTTAAAAAAACATGCTTCTTTTTCTTGTTGGAAATTGCTCTAATAAAATAAGTTAAAAAACGACAGTTCTGTTTCTGTAAAAAGCAGCAATGTTGCCATTCAGACTTCAAAGCTAACATCTGTTTTCTCCTCCAAATATGCAACACTTCATAGAATTCAGATCTTAAACTATATTTATTACATTTCATGACAGATCTACATTATATAAACAATAAAATGCACATATTTTTATTTACATTCTAATATATTTTTTAAATATGTACAACATTGTGTTTTAGTGATTTTTCTTTTTAGTGAATTAAATAAAAATCTCCATAGAAAATTTCTGTTTGACCTTTTTGGTTACAAAAACCCAAACAGTTACAGAATTATGAGCAGAGAAGTCGTCGTTTCACCTCTGTGTAGCTTCTGATCTTTGCATACAAAAATTGAATTATGCTCCAAAAGAATGAAAAATTCCTTGTGGTGTCAACTATATATATAAAAAAAACAACCTTTGTTTATTTTTTTTTCTTCTGTCTTCTTGAAGCCAAGGGGGTTTGAGACGTGTATCTCCTCACTTCCTTACCAACTATTTACTCAACCCTCTGGGAATCACAGGAAATTTTACTTTTTTTAACAGGATATACATATATTTGGCATGCATGGAGAGGTTAATTTATAAGCTAAAACTGAAGTTAGAATATTTTAACCAATGGATTGAAAAATGAAATACTTTTATGAATTTTCACAGACTGTGAAAAACTCTTATGTGCATCATGGAAAGTGGTAGAATATAATGTGATCTAGCGCACTATTTTAAAATAAAGCCTCAGAATAAAACCAGACACCAGTTATCAGATGTGTTCTCTACCATCTCACATTCTGCATCTGAATATTTGACTCGGAGCCACTTCACTCATATTTCCTACAGAGGCTGGTCAGAGGCTGCCTTTGTTCTGCTGTTTAAGCATCAAGACCATTTTTGTTGTGTGCTGTACAAACCGCATAAAGCTGCTGTGATGAATATGGAAAACGGGATAAAAGACCAAATAATAGTGAGGACTGGACTCAAACAGAGGAATAAAAGAACCAGATCGACTTCTTTTCCTGAGCTGCTAGTGGCTCAGTGGTTTAAACCACAGTTTCATCCCTTATCTCCAAAGCCAGAAAATTTCCCCAATATTTAGGGAAAATCTATATTGTTCTTTGAAGGAGTTCAGGGTCCTTCTGTCCGAAAAAGCATAGTCTCATAAGTTAATTTTCCATTTTGCTCCTTTTTTATTGAGAGTCCAAAGTGTGCAGAGCTAATCAGATCAGGGCTTGTGTTTTGGTCGTGGGCTCCAGCTTCCTGGACAGCGCGGTAAGGATGAGGTTGAACTTGTTGTAGCGATCTGATTGGTTGACGGCTGCTCCACGGCTCCCCCACAGCAGCCGCAGCTGGAAGTCGGTTTTAAAAACCTCCAGCAGATCTTCGTCACACTGAAACCCTGAGGAAGCACCCAAGATGTTAGAGGGGGTTGGTTGAATATAAACTGATTCTGTTTAGGATTTCCCTATTTTTACCTTTAAGGATCTTCTCTGCATTGGACGTGTAGTGCTGGGCGTTGTTTGCAACATCTCGCGCAGCCTCCAGGTGCCGTAGCATGATGTCACATCCCTGGTCGCTGGTCTCCCATAGCTCCAGGCCTTCGGATGTGGTTGACGGCCGCTCCATCAGGGTGAGGAGAGGAAGAAGGAGAGGGATGCAGACCAGAGAAGGAGAGGGAGCTGGAAGAGAACAGAGGTCAGAGGTTAAGATCTTGAAATCTCATCCTGAAGGACAAATTTTCACTCAATTATAACATGAACTTTTTTAAGAGTGGTTTGTATATTGCTGAGAGTTAAACTTATAAGATAATTTAACTCATTTAAAATGATTTTAGAGTTCCTCTTCTGTTACCTTCGCCTTCATACAGTCTCTTGTAGAAAGGTTTGAGGATTTTCTCGTAGCTGATGGCAGTCTGAGTATAGTTCCTTCGTAGAGTCGTCCAAGTTTCCTCCAGGCGGCTGATCTGGATGATCAACAATAAACAGCAACTCGTAATGACACTCAAGGTTACACAGATGCAAACACATTTGTTGGAAGCCCAGGAGGCTTAAAGTAAATTCATTTTTACCGCAGTAGTTGTATCTCAGAAAAAAAATCCAACTTAATGCTTGGTTATGTTTCCCCTCTGGGAAATCTAATCCACTCAGCCAAAGATAAACAGTCATCCTTTAAAAATCACCATTTAAAACATTTCTGTTTGAACATTCTAGAACAGGGGTCGGCAACCCGCGGCTCTTTTTTTTTTTTTTTTTCCCTTGCGGCTCCCTGCAACTTTTATCCAATATTTATGAAAATGGAAAAGATGGATTGTTTTGTTTTAATGTGGTGTGCAGGAGGTCAGAAAAACATTCATTATGTTTTCCAATGCTGTAAAAATGTTTTTATGATAAATAAATTCAAACAATAATTGTAAAAATTTCTGTCAACGAAGATTTGCGTGATAGCCAACAGGGATCCCGAAGGGAAAAAGGAAGACACATGAGGAGAACAGAGGGTTCAAAGAAGAACGGACCGAATCATTTGCTTTCATTACCAATGCGGAAGGATTGCCTCCATTTTCACTTTGTAATGAAAAGTTGTCAAGAAATAATAACAGTCATTTGGAAAGGCATATCCAGGGAAGGCATGCTAAATATGCAGCCAACCACCAAGTTAGGAGTGAGAAAAGGTGTGAAAAATTTTTTTCCTTGACTTTAGTGAGGATGTTTTTACAGTTTGCTGTTATTTGTGTCAGATTTATCTCTGTGTCTATGTTACCTGCTGCATGTCCAGAGCTTTCATTAGGGCCGTAAATGCAAACAGGTCGCCCACTGCGTCCTTCAGCTCTATGGCAACGAGGATGATGCGATTCAAGGTAGACGCCCGCTCCTCCACTGTGCCTGTGCATCCCAGAATATCCACAGCAACGCCTATCGCCATGGTGTGATGCCTGGGAGAAGGATGGAGAGAACCATTACCAACACAAGCAGGAAGTAGTGTAATTGTTAATATTGCTGGGCAGATGTGGGTTGTAACTACTTATATTTACTTAGTAACATTTACTTGAGTCATATTTTCATTTAAATATACTTTTAGAAGTATTTTTACTGCTCCCCGCATTTTATTTATACTATCCCGGTGAGCAAATTAAATGAATAACAGACAGGTTGTCATCCTGCCCTTTGTGGTCTATTTGGGTGTTAATTTTTATTTATGTCATTCTGGTGTCTTGGTTATTGTTTCTTTTTCTTTTCTTGTCATTGTAGTTGTTTGCTTTGGCTTTGATGGGGTACTGTATAAAACCTCAAACTCAACGCTATTCTTGACATTTTGAATTGTAAAAGCTTCTTGGATGTGAAGCGAAACGTCTTCAAACTTGGAAACAAAGTCCAGTGGATTGTTTTTAATATTCCAATGTGGAATCAATAAAGTTCAATTAGTATTATAGTCATTACAAAAAAAATGGATTGATTTGATTTGAGAACAATTTTGGGTACGTTATCCACCTCTGGCTGTTTGATCACTGTCTGCTAACAAAACCTTTCCCCTGATTTAATGGATTAAAACCAACGCTCTGCCTCCAAAGCTGTGACACTGATAATAATAAGCATAATTGATATTGGCTGTGATGTGTACCTTTCCATTAGGTCCAGCCTCAGCTGTCGGCCGTGCGGCAGAGTCACCAGCTCCAGACCCGACGAAACGCCCATCTGACCTTTAAGCTGCGGAGTTACACCGAGGATCCTCGCAACCTGAGAGACAACAAGAGTTTCACAGTTTGTTATATTTTATAACTGAAAGGGAATCAGTTATATTTCCTTTGCTTTTTTTACAGCAACAGGAAACATGATGATTTCAAGAGGAAACATCAGAGTCTGATGATTTACTGACCTGCACAAACACTTTCTACACTAACATTGTTAATTAAATGTGATTATTGAATTATACTTTCTTTTGAAGCGATGTGTTTAGATTAAGTTATTTTCAAACTGGAAGTCATTTTAACATCTCGGAGTGGCCCATTCAGGATCTGCTAGGGGACGTGAAGGTGAGGATGACAGTAAAGAGACCATGGAAAGGTGGCAAAACACCAAAAGGGACCTTATGAAAAAGTTTTTCTACTGATTGAGAAGGGAATGTGCAATTTTTTCATTTAATTTTTATTAAAATGTTAAGAAAAATGGATAGTTGTTTTTTAAAGCTTTAAGAAACAGATAGAAATAAAATCAGTTCTTTGAAAATGTAAAGCAGCAGGAGCCCATTTCCTGTGAGCAGTAAGTGAAAATACAGCTGTTAATATTTTCCATCCTCAAAGAACAGTGACATTATTTCTGCCAAGGTGCCGCCCATTCTGATCATAACGGTAACTGATTGATTGCGTAGAGTTAAAGGCCTGTTATGTTCCAGTCAAACTGTGCTGCATAGCAAGAAAAGGCATTTATTAGTGGAGCACATTAGTGAAGAATGTGATGCTATTTTAACTCTTCTCACAAATGTGGCACAGAACGAACATGTAAGGCAATGTTCCAATACACAAAATAACCAAATAAATCTCTTGACATATTTTATATGTATTTTAACAAAATTTAATATAGCTAAAATTTTAGGGTCCAGTCGCTTTTCTTGTCCAAAGTGTTTAGGGACATAAAAGGTCTGAAAAGGGGAAGTGAAGGAAACGGGGTGCCTAGGTGTTCACCTGACAGTCGGCCATCAGCAGGTGTCTGGCTATGCTCTGATGATTGTGGCTCAGCAGCAGCTCCTTCGCTCTCTTCAGGACAGCCATCTCCAGCGGTTTGTTTTCAGGTGGCAAAAGACGGGAGTCAAACTCCGCCGGTCGGAATGTTGATTCCGCTTCCACCACCGGATGCAAAAAATTACATCTAGCCTTTTCTCTCCTAATACCTCCATCCTCCTCCGTCCCTGAGTCTCCCTCCTCTTCCTCACTTGTGTTTTCTAAGGCTGCTATGGCGTGATGGTAGGAGCTTCTGTCCAGTACTTTCTGGCCTTCCACCTCCTTCTCGCCGTCTGTCTCCAGTCTCTCTACATAGCTGTGGAACGGCGTGTTCGGTTTGTTTGGTTGCTCCCACTCTGATCCCTGTGGGCTGCAGGACCTCAGGTCAGCAGGACTCGGCTGCAGCTGCTCCATCCTTCCTGTTATCACCTCTGAATCAGGACGCTGGACATCAGAACTGGGTGGAGCCGAGGAATCTGCAAGAGGAAAGTGTCGAAACTTCTGGGGCTTCGCTGGAGGGACAGGTGGACCTGTGGAGTAATAAAGGATAGAATGCACAAAATCTAGATCCTCCATCGTCAATATTTCAATAAGCAGAATCTTTGATGAGAGGCTAGACTCAAGCTTTGTACCTCCACTCCTCCATGAAGAAGCCAGGTTTTCCCCAGGTGTGGAGCTCAGAGGAGAAGGAGCCAGGCTGGAGGAGGTGGAGCAACTGGAGGGGGGCATCAGGGGCTGCAGGCAGAGCGGACGGGGCAGCCGAGCCAGGGGAACTTTGCTGGGTTTGGGAGGGGGTTTGGGACACAGCTGGCTGTCGGAGCCTCTAATCGCTTGGCCTGGAGACACAAAATTGCCCCATTTATAATCTTCAACCCATGAAGAAATCACTTTAATATTACAGCCCTTCTGAGCATGTAAAGACAAACACACACTCCACACTTTGATCTCATGGGATGGATTCAGTTTCTTACCCCTAATAACGGAAAGAGTAAATACTTGAAAGGTCAGTTATTAACTTTAAAACCCCAACAGCAGCTTTTATTGGTCTCAGGAAAGCTGCGTTTGGACCAGTGCTGCTTGCTTATTAGTAGCTCTGCCTAAGCCTTTAAAGAAAGATGCAAAACAGGAAATGTGAGCAGACTCTAACCATTCATACAGACACTCACTTTGGGTTTTATTGGATCATTATGTGAATAAAACTCTGAGGGTGGTTATACTTAAATATTTTAATCATTAGGAAGAACATTTAATAATTTATCCATATTGCAAACTATACTAAAAAGAGCAATAAAACAAATACATATTTCTTTATTTTCGGCTCAGACAAAGATGTCTGCTTACCTGCTAATGGTTCTGCAGATCTACGTTGGAGTGACGGGCTCAGCACCGGCTCACTGCCAGTCCGAAACACAGGCAGCTTTGGACCTGTGCTGGGGAGCATCGGGTCGGGGGACTGCTGGGGCTGCGGTTTTGATCCTAGGAGAAGAAAGTACAAGACATTTTAAAAAGAAAATATGTTTTTCTTCTTGCTTCATTTTATAGCTTTCTGTGTATCAATCCTGAATCTGTTTTTAACAGTAGACCAAGTTATAGTGAGAAAAATCCTGCTTTCAAATTGATGGCTTTTTACTCACACATCTCTGTGTGAAGTTATGCTTATAAAAATATGAATACATTATTTATGTTTTTAGCAAACTGTACATTTCACCACATGATCACAGAATGAGAGAAGCTAATAGATATTTGAATTGCTCACCTAGGGGAAGGAAGCTCTCTGATTGGTGCGCCTTTAGCGGACGTCGCTTCTCCTGGACTTGATTTAGACTCGCTGGCTGACTACCGCAGCGCTCCTTCAACCTGAGAGGAAGTAGCAAGAAAAGGCTTAACATTTAGAAAGTAAATGGATCAAAGGCTCTTTGATCAAATATGGCTCTTTGAACAGTTTGGGTTGCCGACCCCTGATATAGAGCTTACTGTTTCCTGCTCATTTTAGCTCATTTTGGTTCAGAATAAAGGTTTAAAAATCTGAAAAAAAGCTCCTATAATAAAGCAAATAGGATCTCCTTTACCAGAATCCTCCTAAATTGTGCATTATTCATGCAACAGATAAAGGTCTGTCCGTATTAGGCATGGTAACAGCTAGAGCTAAGGGACCTGCATTATCAGAGAAAAGCTACCTTTATTTCTCAGATTTTTCAGGTAAAACATCGTCTGCTGAAAGATGATAGAAAAAAATCTGTAAGTAGATTAATTCTTCCTTTCATCTAATAAGGTCTTCCAGATAATTTAGCAAATATTTACGATTGAGGAACGATCAAACTCATGCTTCATGTTCAGACACCCAAATTAATTAGCCCTATAAGAAAAAAAAAACATTTATAGCAACTTAGGTCAGAAACACCAATCACTGCCATCCTCTGGGCCCTTTAGAGTGAAAGTGCTCTATATGCCACATCTATTTATAGATTATGTGTTGTTGCTTTATTAGATAATCGGTGCATCTTCACAGTAGGTCTGAATTGCCAATATGATGTGATCCTTTACTGGGAACTGAAATGAATTTTTTTGGCTGCATCTGTTTTGATCCAGGGTTATAAAGAGGTGAAAACGTTCTCATTGGCTGAACATGATAGAGGTGTTTCCTGTCTTTAATTGGTGCAAATTGTTTTGTCTGAGAGCAGACAAGACAATAACTACAGAGGAATTGAATTCCACCTGGGATTTTTTATTATAAAACCGGTTCTATAATTATCCATTTAATTCTGCCTTATTGTTTAGCATTATTTAAGATAATATATATATATATATATATATATATATATATATATATATATATATATATATATATATATATATATATATATATATATATATATATTTAATTATTTTTTCTTCCCAGTGGACAGGTTTCCTATACAAAAATATTGATTAGTCACACTTAATGTCTCTAAATTATTAGATTAAATTACTTTTCCCTTCTCTTTTCATTCATCTTCAGTTAAATTATATATAAAACCTTATTCTCTGTACTAGAATAAAGAGGATATGTTTCTAGATTCTTTACTGTCCAAACCACTTGGTATGGAGAAGCAACAAAAATGAAGCATAATTCATATTTATTTCAAGCTTGAGAGGAATTTGGATGACTGAAATTTGTCTTTTATGTTCCTGGTTTACAGACCTGACTTGGCTGCCTCGGATGAAGCCGCTCTCCTGGCTGGGTTGGCCATCGATGGCGCTGTGTGCAGCATCGTGTCCGTTAGGGATGTTGAGGCTAAGACGGTTCTGGTTCCTCCTCTCCTGCACCATCAGCCCCGCCTCTTTGTGGTTGGTCGACAGTCCGTACTTCTCCTCCAAGTAGCGCAGCGGGAACGTTCTGTTGATCGGCTGGAAGATGATGGCTCCGACCACCTTCAGTGGAAGAAGGATTTACACGTTTTCCGTTTTGTTGTTTTCATCAAAAACACAGAACTTGAAAACCTAGATGCAAGAAACATTTGTGCAAGATGGTACTTGTTTAACCCACCTGTGAGACGGGTTTTCTGTTTCCAACGTAGTATCTGATGAGTGCAGGAACACTGTCAAATCCCTCTTTATCTAACCGATACTCAACTCTGGAGTAGGCTTCATTCAGGATCACAACCTGAATGAGAAAAAGAAACAAAACCTTACTTGTTTCTACTTTTCTAATGAATCTAAAGATGTGAGAAACACCAAGGTTGTAAAACAAAGAATTTTTAAATGTTAAATAAATTATTCTTTTTGACTTAAAGATCAAGAGAAACCAGGTGTGACTGCAGACTTTAGTGGAAGAAGCAAATATTTGAGTTTTTATTTTTGTTCTTTCTTTGTTTCTTATTTTATCTCTTTCTTTCTCTATCTTGTTCTTTTGTTCTTTCTCTTACTCTTTCTTTCTTTTCTCTACTCTTTTTCTTTTTTCGTTCTATCTTTCTTCTTTCTATCGTTCTATGTTTCTCCTTCCTTCCTTTCTTCCTTCCTAATATCCATAACTCTCCAGCTGTCAAAGCAAATCTGTTGGGCTTCTTCCTCAGGCCGTGCTACACTACCTGACACGAAACGTAAAAAAACAAAACAACGGAGAAAAAAAACCTTTACTGTTCTGATAACAGGACAGCAGGTTGAGAGGAATGCACCTTGAACCTAAATGCAGGCTCTAGATATGATCGATTAGTACTACACCATACAAATCTCAGAAGCTTCTGGCATCACATTAAACTCTATTCTATAACTGCTCTTATAAAAATGAGAAAACAGCCTTCCAGTGTTAAAAAGGTTTAAAAAGAAGAATAAAAACAAATACCACAAAATAAAACCCAACTGTTTAAACAGATTTACAATGTGGAACGCTGTTCATTGAAGTTTAGAACGAGAAAATATTTGCAAATATATATTTACCTGCTTGTTGATTTTAAAGTGCTGAGCAGAGTTTCTCCACTGGCAGGTCAGAACGTAGCTTCCTGGGCTGGAGAGTGAGTCCCGTACCAAGAAATCTCCGTCACGTTGCACCAAGCTGTCTGCAACCTGGAGGTTATGAGCAGGTACACATGCACACACACAGAGGGTCACACAGTGGCTGTTTACAGTCCAAACATTCAATTAAATGTAATAATGGTGGTCTGTGGGACAGTAACTATTTTTATGAGCTAAGTGCCGGCTGGCCTGCAGGGTTTAAATTAGATGATACTGTACTAAATATACTGTAAAATGTAAGCCTATTAAATTTCATTTTAACTGATGGGTCTAAATCAGAAACATAATAAACCCATTTTAAACCATACAAATGTTTTTTTTATAATGAGTTACTGACAGTTTACAACATTAAATCCACTACAAGGGAGGCAACAACTGCCATCGATGGGCCAGTTTCAGTTTTATGAGGCAATGACCCAAACATCTGAACCCAAAACAAAATCAAACCAAACAGTTCTACAGGCCATTGACACAAAATTACATATACAAATATTTACATACCTTCCCCTCAACCTTTTTAAATGAGAACTCTACAAACTTTTAGCAGATAAAAGCTAAGTCCTGTTAATTTCTCATGGTAATCATGGTCCACTGCATTTATTCAGTCTATGCTAACACTAAGGGCTTTGCTTTAATACTGCGAAGGGATTCATAAGGATTTAAGAAAGCATTTTTTAGGTTATCATCATAATTCTAGGCAGGGCTGTACTGATACAGCTGTTTGATTTCCGATACGATATTGATATTTTAGCTTTGAGAATTGTCCGATACCGACGTCGACCCGATTATTATCACAAATCATACCAGCTTTTATTACTTATTTTCTACTGTTCAGTGTAAGAAAAGGCTTGATCAAGTTATATTACTATAACAAACAGTAAAAAGGTTTGAAAACAACCTTGTTTGAAAGCTAACCAATGTGTTAGAGAAATTAGCAGAGGCAGAGTGTTTCTGTCAGCATGAAAATATCGGAGGTCTTAGATGCCAGCCGATAAAATTTGATATTAGTTTTTTGGCTAAAATCAGGCCAATAACAGACCAATAATAATACAAATTTAATAGCTTCCTGTGTATCAATCAATATCAATAATCAATATCAATAATACTAATATCGTATTGGGACATCCCTAATTCTAGATGTTAACAATGAAGTTATTTTAAAACCATTAGGCTACTGTCCACCTCTAGAAGCAGAAATCATGTTCTCAAATAATGATGCAGATATGTTCCCACTTTTAAGCTCCTGGAAGATTTACACCTTTACTGCCAAATGTTAGAATGTTAGAGAACAAATCAGGAACTGAGATTCAAACATGGAGGGAAACTTTCATTGTACAACAATGCCGTGTTGCTAGTTGCTCTCAGGGCCGCTTAACTTGAATGTGAAAAGTCTAGCGCCCCAAGTGGTTAAAATGTACACAGTATGAAAATAATCACAGTAAACTTTTAACTGTAAATATTTGTTGAATTATCTCAAATTTCAACTCAATGCAGAAAAGTTTTGAATGATGTGAGCCCTAATTATTTGAAAATCAAATATCAATATTTGGATATGAGATCTACCAGTTGAAATTATTTCACTTTAGTCTCTGTATTTCACTTTTGCTTCAGCTAAAGCCATTTACTCTTCTTGTTTCCCACAAAAACACACAAACCTTCGTACAGAACCCAAGGCTTTAATTAGACTAGTGTTTGTTTAGAGTGTAATGTTAGTTTAGTTTAGCCAAAGGAAGGAGCTTATTAAAAGCGATTACATCTCAGCTCTGGATCTCAAAGGGAACACAAAGCCTCCCTCACACATTTATCCAACACAACAAACAGAATTCATCCAGCAGACATAAAGAACGCTTTCTGTGCGCCGACCTGAAGGTACAACCCGAGTGCCTCTACTGAGGTCACAAGTCACCCTACAATCTGTCTGTAATAGCTGCACATTCAGAGCTGTAGTCTAATAATAGCTGGTCCAACTGGTTTCAAACCAGAGCAGAGGGAGGGACTCGTGACTCAGATTTATTCTAGTGTTTTTTTTTTTTTACCTGTCTGGGAATTGCTCCGTGGTACCAAGCGTGACTTCTTGGCTCCTCGCAGTTCATCTTCAGTTCCTCCTCCAGCTCCCTGCGGAGCTTCTCCAAGGAACAGTCCAGGATAAACTGATCCCTGGAGAACTGGGTTGAAAACAGGAAGAGAGCGTTTAGTTACTCTGTCTGTTTCTCATCTTTAAATCGTGAAAAAAATCCTACTATCCTTGTATGTATCTCTATGATGGGGCCTCTGTTGGAAAAGTAATATATTAAAAGTACCATGAGTTACAAAATATTTGTTTGGTTTATTATTTTTTTTTTAGTCTGAAAGAGAAAAGCCTGTGTTTTTCTTTATTTAATTAAATATACCTTTATTGGCCTGTCTGTCATTTGATCAAATTGAAATATCAAATCATCTGTGAATTGAACCCCTGCATTTTTCAATATTAATATCCTTTGAAAAAAAAATATTTCTATTTATTCACATGGTCGTCAATGGTAGTATGTTACAATTCAAAACTCTTAATAATAGTTCCAAATGACTCCATGTTAGGTTGCTATGATCTCAGTTATTCAGTAATTTGCTTCAAATCTAACGGATGGACCATTTTTTAATTCCAGCTTTTTTTATTGTCATTACACTGTCAAAAGTACAGAGCAACGAAATTAACTCTCTGCATTTAACCCATCCCCTTGGTGAGCAGTGGGCTGCCATTATGTGGCGCCCAGGGTACAGTGCGGGGTTAAGGGTCTTGCTCAGGGACCCAGAGTGGCAGTCTGTGGGAGTGGGGCTTGAACTCAGAACCTCCAACATAATGCCCTAACCACTAGGCCACCACCCCCCTATTATACTACAATAACAACTGTTGCTACATTAAGCACTGGAACAAAAAATCTTCACCCAAATGTTTCATGAAGATACATTAATGCATATTTGAAGAACAAAAAATTAGATAAGTTAAAATAGAGAAAGAAATTGAACATAAATTTTAGGGGAAAGGTTGGGATCTGTTCTTTTTCCTGTCCTCTGAGTCTAGTCATAAACATTATTTAACTGATTTATTAAAAAACAAAGAGGATTTATATCTATTTGTTTTACAAATTATTTCACTCCGTTTTAACTGGTCAAAATTTAAGCAAACATTTTGTTTTTTATACACAGAACACATATCAAGAGGGCTTATAACAAAAGACTTAATGCCTCCCTTTGTAGAGTTAGCCTGCTTTGCTTCTTTTCAGTGATATAAAACATTAAAATATGTAATATATTCCTGATGATGTTCCTGTCTTCAGTTGCTGTAACCGTTAGAATATCACTATTTAGAAAGAAATCATTATTATTATGGTAAACTTGGCTTAAAATATGTGCCACTATCAAAGAATAATATACCATATATTTACTTTTGGATAAACATGAAACACCAATGTTAATCAATTGGAAAAGAATAAATGTACAATAAACTCAGGAAAACCATAAACAAGTGAAAAAAAACATTAATTTACGTGATTTATCCAAAACTGGCCATTATGACCACAGTTGTGCCAATATGTAACATTGTGGAAATAATTAACTCCAAATAACCAAGTTCACCATTACATCCAAGTACTTTTCACAGATTTTAGTGTGGCAAATACGAACACTCTCAACATTCAATATGAGACTCAATATGGGGCATATGGATTTCCTGAATGAAAGGAAGGTATGGGTTCTTGTAATGGGAAGCTCTGTGTTTACACCTTCAAGCTTTCTCTACCGGATTCTTTTCCTGAGAAGAGATGCCTCGGAAAAACCCTTTAAATAACACTTCATAATGTTTATGTATTAAATGACTGTGAGACATGATAACAGATTTTACAGAAATTGAAGTGGCTGAGGTTACAAATGGAAGCGCTCAGCATTGAGCTCGCTTTTTCAGAAAGTTTGCCCAGAATAACAGTTTAAAGAACATTTTACGCATTGGCAGGTCCGCATCATTACATCAGCACATCATACACGTTTGTCGATGAGGATAATTCACCAGCTCCCGTCATATCAAGATAATACAAAGAGTTTTTAGATCAAGGACAATCCAAACGCCAGTTCAAGCGCCCGCGGATCAGGTCGCCGAGGTCTCCGCCTCTGGCTGCCGCCCAATCCTCTTTGCACCGGTCCCTCATGGTTCCCCCTGCAGGTGGTGGGCCCACTGGGGGATGGCCTCGCGTCGCTCCTTCGGGCTGGGCCCGGCCGGGTCCCGCGAGGAAGAACCCGACCACCATGCGCTCGCCGACGAACCCCAACCCCAGGCCTGGCTCCAGGGTGGGGTCCCGGCTCCGCCGTACCGGGCGACGTCACGTGCCTCGTTTGAGTCCTCGTCATAAGGGTTTTTGAACCGCTCTTCGTCTGACCTGTCACCCAGAGCCTGTTTGCCTTGGGAGACCCTTCCAGGGGCATTTAGCCCCCGACAACATAGCCTCTGGGATCACCCAGGCACTGAAACCCCTCCACCACGTTAAGGTGGCGGTTCTTCTGATCTTCGGCCGCATGTCTTGGACACTCGGGTGAAGAGAGGGGCGGAGCTGTCCACCGACCACCACCTGGTGGTGAGTTGGATACGCTGGAAGAGGAGGAAGCCTGAAAGACTCGGCAGGCCCAAACGTGTAGTGAGGGTCTGCTGGGAACGTCTGGTGGAGCCCTCGGTCAGAGACGTGTTCAACTCCCACCTCCGGGAGAGTTTCTCTCAGGTTCTGAGGGAGGTTGGAGACATGGAGTCCGAATGGGCTGTGTTCTCTGCCTCTATTGTCGATGCGGCTGCCCGTAGCTGTGGCCGTAAGGTTTGCGGTGCCTGTCGTGGTGGCAATCCCCGAACCCGGTGGTGGACACCGATAGTAAGGGATGCCGTGAAGCTGAAGAAGGAGTCCTATCAAGCCTGGCTGGCTTGTGGGACTTCTGAAGCAGCAAGCAGGTACCGTGAGGCCAAGCGTGTCGCGGCCCGGGCGGTTGCAGAGGCAAAATCTCGGGCCTGGGAGGAGTTTGGAGAGGCCATGGAAAAAGACTATCGGTTGGCCTCAAAGCGATTCTGGCAAACCGTCCGGCGCCTCCGGAGGGGAAAGCAGTGCTTCACTAACACTGTTTTTAGTGGGTGTGGGGAGCTGCTGACCTTGAAGGAGGATATTGTCGGGCGGTGGAAGGAATACTTTGAGGATCTCCTCAACCCGACAGACATGCCTTCCGTGGGGGAAGAAGAGACGAGGTGCTTGGGGCTGGGTTCGTCCATCACCCAGGCTGAAGTCACCGAGGTAGTCAAAAAACTCCACGGTGGCAAGGCTTCGGGGGTGGACGAGATCCGACCTGAATATCTCAGAGCTCTGGATGTTGTCGGGCTGTCATGGTTGACACGTCTCTTCAACATCGCGTGGAGGTCGGGGACAGTTCCCCTGGATTGGCAGACTGGGGTGGTGGTTCCCCTCCACAAGAAGGGGGACCGGAGGGTGTGTTCCAACTATCGGGGAATCACACTTCTCAGCCTCCCCGGAAAGGCCTATGCCAGGGTGCTGGAGAGGAGAGTCCGGCTGATTGTCGAACCTCGGCTGCAGGAGGAGCAGTGTGGTTTTCGTCCTGGCCGTGGAACGGTGGACCAGCTCTACACCCTCTGCAGTGTGCTTGAGGGTTCATGGGAGTTTGCCCAACCAGTCCACATGTGTTTTGTGGACTTGGAGAAGGCATTCGACCGTGTCCCTCGTGCTGCCCTGTGGGGGGTGCTCCAGGAGTATGGAGTCAGGGGCCCTTTATTAGGGGCCATCCGTTCTCTGTACAAGCGGAGCAGGAGTCTGGTTCGCATTGCCGGCATTAAGTCGGACCTGTTCCCGGTGCATGTTGGACTCCGACAGGGCTGCCCTCTGTCACCGGTCCTGTTCATAACTTTTATGGACAGGATTTCTAGGTGCAGCCAAGGACCGGAGGGGGTCTGGTTTGGGGAACAGCGGATCTCGTCCCTGCTTTTTGCGGATGACGTAGTTCTGCTGGCTCCCTCCTGCCAAGACCTACAGCGTGCGCTGGGGCGGTTCGCAGCCGAGTGTGAAGCGGCCGGGATGAGAATCAGCTCCTCCAAATCCGAGGCCATGGTTCTCGACCGGAAAAAGGTGGCTTGTCCCCTTCGGGTTGGAGGGGAGTCCTTGCCTCAAGTGGAGGAGTTCAAGTATCTTGGGGTCCTGTTCACGAGTGAGGGAAGAATGGAGCGGGAGATCGATAGACGGATCGGTGCGGCTGCTGCAATAATGCGGACGCTGCACCGGTCTGTCCTGGTGAAGAGAGAGCTGAGCGAAAAGGCAAAGCTCTCAATTTACCGGTCGGTCTACGTTCCTACCCTCACCTATGGTCATGAAATTTGGATCATGACCGAAAGAACGAGATCCCGGATACAAGCGGCTGAAATGAGCTTTCTCCGCAGGGTGGCTGGGCTCTCCCTTAGAGATAGGGTGAGGAGCTCGGTCATTCGGGAGAGGCTCAGTGTAGAGCCGGTTCTCCTCCACATCGAGAGGAGTCAGTTGAGGTGGCTCGGACATCTTCTTCGGATGCCCCCTGGACGCCTCCCTCGGGAGGTGTTCCAGGCATGTCCCACCGGGAGGAGGCCCAGGGGACGACCCAGGACACGCTGGAGAGACTATGTCTCTCGGCTGGCCTGGGAGCGCCTAGGGCTTCCCCCAACAGAGCTGGAGGAGGTGTCTGCGGAGAGGGAAGTCTGGGAGTCTCTGCTTAGCCTGCTGCCCCCGCGACCCGGTTCCGGATAAAGCGGGAGACGACGAGACGAGACGAGACAATCCAAACGCACAGTGACAGAGCTCTCTTTTAAGAATAATCCACTCTTTCTGTATGCTCCCATTTTATTTCTAAATATTGTCCTAAGTAGATAAACTGCTTGGGAAAACATTAGCTTTAACACATAACAGGCATGATATATTAGGGTTTAAAAAGCACGCACATGAATCATGAATAAATAATCCTAATATTCTAAACAACAAAAAGCTATGGACAGAAAAACATGTCTGTTGTTCTAGAGCCACACGTAATACGTTTTGTTTGAAGATCAAAGGCAGATGTCAAGTAAAAGTAACTCATCACAGGGGTGAAGCATGGTGATGGACGTGTTATAATGTGGTGTTGTCCT